CATCCCAGTTTAGATCCATCCATCCCAGTTTGGATCCATCCATCCCAGTTTGGATCCATCCATCCCAGTTCGGATCCCGTCCATCCCAGTTTGGATCCCGCCCATCCCACTTTGGATCCCGTCCATCCCAGTTTGGATCCCGTCCATCCCAGTTTGGATCCATCCATCCCAGATTGGATCCATCCATCCCAGTTTGGATCCCGCCCATCCCAGTTTGGATCCCGTCCATCCCAGTTTGGATCCTGTCCATCCCAGTTTGGATCCATCCATCCCAGTTTGGATCCCGTCCATCCCAGTTTGGATCCCGTCCATCCCAGTTTGGATCCATCCATCCCAGTTCGGATCCATCCATCCCAGTTTGGATCCCATCCATCCCAGTGCAGATCCCGCCATTCCCAGTTCAGATCCCGCCATTCCCAGTACAGATCGCACCATTCCCAGTGCGGATCCCAGCGTGGATCCCGGCATTCCCAGTTCACATCCCACCATTCCCGGTGCAGATCCCACCATTCCCAGTTCAGATCCCGCCATTCCCTGTGTGGATCCCAGTGCAGATCCCGCCATTCCCAGTGCAGATCCTGCCATTCCCAGTGCAGATCCCGCCATTCCCAATTCAGATCCCGCCATTCCCTGTGCAGATCCCTCCATTCCCAGTGCAGATCCCGCCATTCCCAGTACAGATCCCACCATTCTCAGTTCAGATCCTGCCATTCCCACTGCGGATCCCAGTTCAGATCCCACCATTCCCAGTTTGGATCCCACCATTCCCAGTTTGGATCCCACCATTCCTGGTGCAAATCCCGGTACAGATCCCGCCATTCCCAGTTTGGATCCCACCATTCCCTGTGTGGATCCCAGTGCAGATCCCACCATTCCCAGTTCAGATCCCACCATTCCCAGTACAGATCCCGCCATTCCCAGTGCAGATCCCAGTTCAGATCCCGCCATTCCCAGTACAGATCCTGCCATTCCCAGTACAGATCCCACCATTCCCTGTGTGGATCCCAGTGCAGATCCTGCCATTCCCAGTTCACATCCCGCCATTCCCAGTTCAGATCCCGCCATTCCCAGTTTGGATCCCGCCATTCCCAGTGCAGATCCCGCCATTCCCAGTACAGATCCTGCCATTCCCAGTACAGATCCCGCCATTCCCAGTTCAGATCCCGCCATTCCCAGTGCGGATCCCGGCGCGGATCCCGGCTTTCCCGGCGTTCCCGGGCACCTTGGCGGCGGCCAGCGCTTTGTCCGGGAGGTCGATCCGGGGGAAGGAGTACATGGCTCCCTGCACGGGGTTGCAGTGGATCCCCGGGGTGCGGTTGAAGATCTCCTGCGTCAGCCGCGCCTTTTCCGCCAGGGCGCTGAGCACGGCCTCCTTCTCCTGCCGGAAAACGGGATGGGAATCTGGGAATTCTCTTCCCGTCCAGCCCGGCTCGTCCCGTGCTGAACCAATATCCCAGCCCATCCCATGGATCCCATTATCCCATTATCCCATGGATCCCATTATCCCATGGATCCCATTATCCCATTATATCCCATCCTATCTCATAGATCCCATTCCATACCCATTCCATCCTATCCATTATCCCCTTATCCCATTATCCCATGGATCCCATTATCCCATGGATCCCATTATCCCATGGATCCCATTATATCCCAGCCCATCCCATGGATCCTATTATTCCATTATCCCATTATCCCATCATCCCATCCTATCCCATCCCATGGATCCCATGGATCCCATGATCCCATGATCCCATTATATCCCATTATCCCATTATCCCATTATATCCCATTATCCCATTATATCCCATTATATTCCATTATCCCATTATATCCCAGCCCATCCCATGGATCCCATTATCCCATTATCCCATTATATCCCATTATCCCATTATATCCCATTATCCCATCATCCCATTATATCCCATTATATCCCAGCCCATCCCATGGATCCTATTATTCCATTATCCCATTATCCCATCATCCCATCCTATCCCATCCCATGGATCCCATGGATCCCATGGATCCCATGGATCCCATTATATCCCATTATCCCATTATCCCAGCCCATCTCATGGATCCCATTCCATCCAATATCCCATCCCATTATATCCCATTATCCCATCTCATTCCATCCTATGGATCCCATTCCATACCCATCCCATGGATCCCATTATCCCATTATATCCCATTATCCCAATCCCATGGGTCCCATCCCATGGATCCCAATCCCATGGATCCCATGGATCCCAATCCTGCCGTTCCGTACAGCCTGGAAGCGCTGGTGGGACGGCTCTCCAGGTTTGGGCGGATCCCATCCCATGGATCCCAATCCCATGGATCCCATGGATCCCAATCCCAATCCCATGGATCCCATGGATCCCAATCCTGCCATTCCGTACAGCCTGGAAGTGCTCGTAGGACAGATCTCCGGGTTTTGGTGGATCCCATCCCATGGATCCCAATCCCCATCCCAATCCCAATCCCATCCCATGGATCCCAATCCCATGGATCCCATGGATCCCATGGATCCCATGGATCCCCATCCCAATCCCAATCCCATGGATCCCATGGATCCCCATCCCAATCCCATCCCATGGATCCCAATCCCATGGATCCCATGGATCCCATGGATCCCAATCCCCATCCCAATCCCAATCCCATGGATCCCATGATCCCATGATCCCATTATATCCCATGATCCCATTATCCCATTATATCCCATTATCCCATTATATCCCATTATCCCATTATATCCCATTATATTCCATTATCCCATTATATCCCATTATCCCATTATATCCCATTATATCCCGTTATCCCATTATCCCATTATATCCCATTATCCCATTATATCCCATTATCCCATTATCCCATTATATCCCATTATATCCCAGCCCATCCCATGGATCCTATTATTCCATTATCCCATTATCCCATCATCCCATCCTATCCCATCCCATGGATCCCATGGATCCCATGGATCCCATGGATCCCATTATATCCCATTATCCCATTATCCCAGCCCATCTCATGGATCCCATTCCATCCAATATCCCATCCCATTATATCCCATTATCCCATCTCATTCCATCCTATGGATCCCATTCCATACCCATCCCATGGATCCCATTATCCCATTATATCCCATTATCCCAATCCCATGGGTCCCATCCCATGGATCCCAATCCCATGGATCCCATGGATCCCAATCCTGCCGTTCCGTACAGCCTGGAAGCGCTGGTGGGACGGCTCTCCAGGTTTGGGCGGATCCCATCCCATGGATCCCAATCCCATGGATCCCATGGATCCCAATCCCAATCCCATGGATCCCATGGATCCCAATCCTGCCATTCCGTACAGCCTGGAAGTGCTCGTAGGACAGATCTCCGGGTTTTGGTGGATCCCATCCCATGGATCCCAATCCCCATCCCAATCCCAATCCCATCCCATGGATCCCAATCCCATGGATCCCATGGATCCCATGGATCCCATGGATCCCCATCCCAATCCCAATCCCATGGATCCCATGGATCCCCATCCCAATCCCATCCCATGGATCCCAATCCCATGGATCCCATGGATCCCATGGATCCCAATCCCCATCCCAATCCCAATCCCATGGATCCCATGGATCCCCATCCCGCCGTTCCATACAGCCTGGAAGCGCTCGTAGGAGGGATCTCCGGGCTTTGGCGGGTCCATGATGGCGTCCAGGACCATCTGTCCCGGCACGGGCGGGCACAGCCGGACCGACACGAGCTTGGAGAGCTCGGCCTTCACCTCGGGGTGCATGTTCACCACCTCCACGTAACCGCCCCGCAGCCCGCACCTGCCGGAGAGACACGGATCGGAACCGCCCGGAATCCCCCGGGGCACCGGGAACGGGATCCGTGGGAGGAGAGGCGGGGATGGGGGTGGGACGGGGAATGGGAATCCATGGATGAGAACATATGGAGAAGGAGCCACGGATGGGATCCATGGATGGGGGTTTGGGATGGGAATCCATGGGTGGGAACCTATGGAGAAGGAGCCATGGATGGGAGCCATGGATGGGGGTTTGGGATGGGAATCCATGGATGAGAACATATGGAGAAGGAGCCACGGATGGGATCCATGGATGGGGGTTT